TCCCTGGACACTGTCTATCTTAAAACCTCACGTATTTCTAGATAGCCCTAGCTTTGCCATTTGCCAAAGGTTCTGCTTTGCTGTGGTACAGTTCTTATTAAATTTGTCAGTAAGGTGCAGTTACAACCCTAATTCCATATATACTTATGACATTATATCAATTTAGAAATGCATTTCTGTTCAAGCTGCCTTTCATCACTGGCAGGTTTTTTGTTTGTTTTCAAATTAAGTTCTTCAGTTCTTTAAAGTACTGCTGTCTGCACTAACATTGTTTTTTCCACTGCAGGGTTAAGCAGTGAATTAAAACTGAAATAGTATCGTGATTAACCTTAGGCTTTCTCCTTCAGTCCTTATTTTAGGAGCAATGTTCTCATACGTTACAATGCCTGCACGACCACCACGGAATGGGACAAGAGTGTTTTTTCTCTAGTATCCTTCCTGCCTTTATCAACAGGTTATCTTAAAAAAATGACTATGTCAGCAACTATACAACACACAATGCTATGTCTGTAAATTACGAGCTCCTGCAAGATAGAGAGGGGAATTAAAAGGTCTCCAGAATTCTGGAGAAGATGATAATAAAAATAATAATATCCAGGAAGTCACTACAGAAATGTATGAATTCCCTAGACCTTCCCTGGAGAAACAATATAAAGTTGTATTTTCAAAAGGTGTGAGTGTCCATTGCTGTCAGGACCAAGCACAATTTTGAGGTAAAACTCTACGGAAAATCTATGTTTTTCTTGGAGAAAGAGCACCAAAAAGATCATCCCAAATCGAAGCCTCAAATGAGCTGTAAGAGAAGCCGACACACTCACATCCCCACCGCTGGCAAGCTTTCTTTTTCGGGTGACAGCCTGCAGTGCCACCCAAACCCACACACTCATCACCGTGTCAGATGTCCCCAAAATCTTTCAGTCTCATTCACAAACTCACAAGGCACCCGATAAAAAGATGGAGAGGCTGCTTTTCAGGCACCATCACTTTACATAAGACTCTTATTTTACCTGTTTCTGTTGGACAATACAACAGCACATCATGCTAAGTGCTAAGTTATTGGTCACGCTGCTCAGACCTAAAGAGGAAATAAGATGTCCGTCCACTAGACCTTCTCACATACCTTTGGCAGTCAAAACCATTTGGCATCTCAGTTCCTTGAGGCAGGTTTCAGCACCGGAGAAATGATGGGAAGATTTACTCTTCCTTGATCAACTGACAGTACTGCACAAAGTCTAAATAGCACTCACAATATATTATAGCATCATATGCTGGAAAATAGGAATAAAATACCTGCAAAATCTGCTGCCAACAGGTCCACCGCCTTTAAAACTTTGACTTGTAAGAAGCCAATGTCCTTCATATCCCGAAAAGAATTCTTTACACACTGCAAGGAGGAAAGCGTAAAGATATACTTCCTTTGTAACTCAGTAAGAAACAGAAAATATTGAAGTACTAAATGACTTACATTTTTATATCCATCACTATTTCTGCAGTGTCTCAGTTCAGCAGCTGATATACCCATAAATACCTCTCCACTATCTCAGTCTTACTACATCATGACCCTGAGGTTCACGACTTCACATGCTGCCTGCTCCTAACGAAACTCTCCGTTCACATAGGCTACACATTAACTTCATGGTGGAGACTGAAAGGAGCCCTGTGTGTTTATGCAGTATCATCCGCCAGTTAAAACAGAAAACGGGACATAGGCAGACCTGGAGAAGAAGCATGGGTTGGGAAGGCAGCACAGTCAATCAGGACTGAGGAATCTCTCCTCAAAAGTAACTTTGACTCACGCTGTTGAAATTGCTCACACCTCAGTCTCACACCCCGTTTTAGAGATACACATGTTATTCCTTCTTGCCCAGCTTTTGAGGATTGAGGTGTGGAAGCCATCACAAGGCTTTATTTTCCAACAGTTGAACATCCTGAACATGTCTTCTCCGTAGGAGGAAAGAAAGTTAAGTATACTATGAGCTTCTCCATGATATTCAATGTCTCCCATTCCCCATGATAATCTCTTAATACAATTCAAGTTTGCAAAGAAAAGCATTATTTTAAAACTCAACAAATACAAGCAGCCAAATTGCTTGGGTCTATCTGCCCTGCCAATCTCCTTGTCATTCTGAACATAATAACTCGCCCGTGTAATAGTTCTCTCTGGTAGGAGACATGTTATTATGACTGGACAAATCTTTATTATTCTTTTTTTCTGCAATTTTGACTACTTTCAAAAGTAAAGGAGAAAAAAGGAAGGAACAAAAAAATGCAAACTCACATAGCGCTGTGAAATCTGTTGCCTTTCACTGGGGTCTCCCAAAGGGCAGACACACAGATCAGAGATAGACACTCCTGTACATGGGGCAACAGCAATCAACATTAGCAGGGACCCTGGGCGTTTTTCCAGAGGCAGCTCTAAGCAATTGGTCTGCTTCATCGGCAGGGCACTAATGTCAACTTGGCACCTGGAATGACAGTGCCAAGGGTTAATAAGAAAAAGGAACCAGAAAAAAAAAATAAAATAAAGCAACGTTTATATTGATTTCAGCTGCAAATAGGCACCTAAACTTACTGCTTGTTCAGGATGCAAAAAAAAAAAAAACAGCTTCTTAAAATTAAACATGGGAAATCAGTTAGCTGGTTTCTATTGCACTTACTGTCAGTTTTGCTACTGGTAAGCAGAGGTAAAAGGTTTGGGCTGCAAGTAGAGTAAGAGAACTTAACTCTGGCCTGCCTCACTTCCCCTCTAAAATCCCCTAGGTGCTTTGGGACAGATTTGAAACACAATTTTATTTCACCTGGGGGAAAAGAAAAGGGGCAAACACAAAATTTAAAACATTAGCCTAAAATAGATTAGTTTCTTTAAAGTCACATACTCCATTTTATGCTACATTATACTGTATGCCCCAATCTCTTTTACAAGCCTTACTAGAGCTACATTTTCAGTGTACTGTTATATTTCCCAAAGGGAAGGATTGTCTTTAAAAGTCCCCCCACCCTCTCACATAATATGTACCATTAACCTGATACTTCCCCAAAAAACAAAAATAAGGAGGAAAAAAAAAAGAGAAACATTCATAAATAGACAGTAATAAAAGATGAGTAAGGGCTAAAGCAGGGAGAGATCACTAGACAGCCAGTTATACGCAAAGGGAGCGGTTAAATGCAACAGAAAGCCTAATCACTTGGTTCAGCTAAATGCCTTCTATTTAGAAGTCCAGTAAATGGAGTGGAACTTTTCTGAACCTCCGTGGGGCTTGGCTTTTAAGAACAGGCTGAACAAAAGTTACAGATGAAAAAGGGGAAAAAAAACAAAAAAAAATGAGGAGGGAGAAGCTTTGTTGCCACAGTGCAAGGGGAGTCACATTGCTCAAAGGGATGGCGAGTGGATGATGGAGAGCGAGAGCTTTCGCTCCGCTTAATGCCTGCCGACAAGTTTTTATTTAAACTAAACTTGTTAAGGTGTTGTCTTAATAGGCTAAAATTCCACAGGGTTCCCCCAGGTGGGTTTCTTCTGGGTAAATGGTGCATGTAGTGTTCCTGATTGATCCCATTCCAGTAGTAGAGCTGTAGCGGTTTATACCCATCTGCTATAAATTGCATGCTTTCCGCTTCTTAACAGCCTATTTTCTGCGAATGCTAAGGGGGGTGAAAAAAAAAAAATCCCAAAACATTTCAGCCTGAAAACCCAACAAACTACGTGCTGAAGTAAAAGTCATCGCTCTGATGAGTTTGTAAGTCATTCAGTAGCTCCATTCTCGCAGAATCAATGGGGATGACTTCGCCTTAAATACGCTCTTTGCTATTCACCGCACTGAACATACAACAGGTTACAAGTTTACTCTTATTAACTGCTCTCAAGTGCTTTGAAAGAGAAAGAAAACAAACCAGGAAGAGTAGGAACACTGCTCGGCGTGTAGGCTGCCTCTCAACACAATTTCCAAGTGTGAGAGGTTGCATTTAAAGCTCATTGCTATGCCTAGACTCTTCACAAAGATATGACAAGAGAAGTTACAGCAGAAAGGAAAACAAAACAACAACAACAGAGGCAAGCATTTGAGAAAAAGACCTTATCACTTTCACACTGGAGGTCAACATCACCTTGGCTGCATTCAAACAGTCGCTTGTCAGACTGCAGCAGTTTTACTGATACCTCAGGTATCAGTGCAAAAGGGGGAATGTATCATTATCTCGGGGGTTTTTTTTGTTGTGTTTTTTTTTTTTTTTAAACAGGTGACGAAACTGAAGGAAGGAGAGGTGAAAATTCAAGGTCACCCAGCTGGTCTGTGGTTCAGCTGGCAATAAAGGCCATGTCTCCCACATCAGCATTTCATACACCACCCACTCACCACAGTCCACAACTGGGAAAAGCCGCATTTGCCTTTTTATCTTAAGAAATTTCCATGGGGTACGAGAGAAAAGACAACTCGTTCAGACAACAGTGCATCTGCCACCAAAAGATAACCTCAGAAATCTCTTGTATCTCAAAGGCAAAGTTAAATATAATTCCAGCTTGTTTTGGCAAATTGGAATTGTTTCTGTTATTAAAAGCATTTGATTAGCCAAAGGTCAAAGAAAAGATGGACTATAAGGACATGGGGGTAGAGGGATGCACATGTGGAGGAGAAAACAGCAGGAGGTGTAGTGTAAGCATTTCTTCCTCAAATCATGTCTGATTTCCGTGCGAACTGACTTCCTTAAAACATCTGTGTTCACTCAAGGTGATGGTATGCCTCTGTATTTTCTTTTGAAGAACTGAAAAGAAAACCCACATTCGCACTTGCAAATGGCAAAAGACTTAAGACAAAAAAAAAAAAAGACAATCTGTTTCATTTAGGTTATACAATGTAATTGATCAGACTGCAAAGAATGCAGCTTGGTAAAACAATTAGACGTTCAATTTACTGTATAAAATCAGCAGTTTCCACACAAATGCTTCTACACTATTAAAACGAGTCTAATGATTTCAAACTACTTCCCCCATCATCCTGAAACTGAAACTCTCAGCTTTCCTTATTTTTCAGCTTTCTATCAGCAAGACCTTATTACAGATAATTATGCACAGGAAAGTGGTAAGAGACTACGGTGATGGGCACAGTATAAAACTAATGGAAGCAACCCACTTTTTGCTCAAAAGTTGCCTGATCTGAATGCAAAGGGCAAAACTCTCAGATTATTTGTATTTTAGGTGATGCAAACGATCTCCTGAGTTAAATTCTCAACATAGTAATCCTACCTCAGAATAGGATAGATCTGCTTGTTGTCATCTTTTGCTACACTACATAATAAATTCAGGTATAAACTTTCACATGCACGACTATATGCTTGATCTGTAGGGGATACAGTTCTGTAACTTCAGACTGCATTGTGCACACAAATGTATCACTTTTTTTTTTTAACCACAATTAAACGCTTTCCTTCTTCCTCCTGATCAATATCAAGGTCTACTCCTCTATACTCACCTCTAGTCCTGTAAAGGATTACACCACAGCTTCACTTTTCATTTAAGACTGTTCTTTCGACTCACAGCCCTCATCTTTAGCTGCCAAAAATTTTTCCCCTTTTTTATTAATTTTGCAGAGAAATATTACTTGAGAACACTACACAGCAAATTTGGGGTTAAATTATTTAACTTTATCAGGGAACCAAATGTTAATATTTCTCTAAAAGGTGCTGAGCTTAGCCTCTTACCAGTAACCATGGAGTTAGATTTTATTATCCAATCCACCGTTCATCAAATTATGATAAGTATCCTTAAATATATATAAATACATATGAAAAAATCTGCACAGAAAATTGCCACTTTTTTCCCCTGCAGAATTCTTGAAAGCCCTTCACACGAGAGGTCAGAACCATTATCTCAGTATACGGTAAGATGCATCTATGATTGATAATGCGAAAGGAATTTCAGATGCCACAGGTGCCAGGGAGACAATTAATAAGGTCTTATTCTGACTTATTCTACAGATAAGTTTTGGTTGTCTGATTCTTCCTGTAGCTTGATGAAATTTAAATGAAAGATCTGGATGCAGCTATAGTAGATTTTCCTGCTCCATCCCAACAGCATGGCCTTTAAAATAAGGATTGTTTCTTGTTGCAAAAACACTGTTTCCTGGAGGCATTCATCATAAAGATACTGGATCCACTCCAATCTCATAGCTCGTGGTCTTAAGGCTAGCAGTTTCTGTAAAACCTCTTTCTTGAGGTAAATACGTGAAGAAAAAAAGCCCCAACATTTTGCAGCATCTCTTTTTCAAAACATACCCTTTAATGCAGAAACACTCCCTAACAACGTGGCATAAACAATTTAATTCTGTCTGGACAAATTCTGCACATGTTAACACCTTTGTTTATTAATATACATTAACATCACCTCCTGTTTATAGCATGTCTCCTATCCCAAAGGACACAAAAAGCACTCAAACATTAGTAATGGTTCTGGGCAGACTAAGTAGAGGGATTATTTCATCTAGAACCAAAACACAGCTACCCCTCAGTGTCGGACCCTGGCAGCTGAACCACTCACGGCTGCAGTATTTTCAGTGAGGAAGTGAAACTGGATCCAGTTGAAAAATCTAAGGAGAACACAGGTAGGCTGAATGTAATAGTTTAGCTTGCAATGTGCACTGACAGTGAAGGTTCATTTTGTGATAGAAGGGTGATGTGAAATCCCATGGAATGTTTCTTCACTAATTCAGCAGCAGACAAAGGCCCCGGGTGTTAGTGTTTAGTACCGGAGGTCCAACACATTTCTTATTCTACATGTTCCATAGACTCCACAGACACTTCAGGTCCTATTTCAAGAACAATAATTTACCTTGAAACCAAATATGCCTGGGAGAAGACCCACGTTCCAGGGGCTTAAGGCTTCCATCCCACATGAAATCCTGGGTCTAAAGTAGTCTTTATTCTGCAAGAGTTCAGCAGTCTGGATTATCCGACATGACTCCACCACGTGCATCTCCTCAACTTAATTTAAATATTCTGTGTGTACATATATATTTAAAGGTCTAACCAAAACAGTTCAAACTACACAGCCATGAGCGAGCATAATGAATCCCAACTGAATCCTCAAATTGACCACAAAATTACTAATTACGATCCAGCAAATTTTGCCTTTTCCTTCAAACCACGCAAATTATTTGAGGGCAGTTGGGTTGTACGGCTGTTTGTAATGACCGAATACAACCCACAAACATTTTACTCAGGAGTTTTTCCTATAGCGATGTTACAAAATCCAGAAATCTCAAAACTCAACTTGGAAGTCATGAAGACACTAAACATGGCACCTCATAATGTTGTTTCACCTATAGAATCCTTTTCCAGATTAGACTGCACTTGAATCCTTCATAAAATATCATTTATTGGGTGTCAAAAGTTTCTACACTGTACAAACAAGGGTTGTTACTGTGCATTTCGCATTTACCTATTCTGGCAATCATTTTTTAAAATCTAGTATAATTTTTTCCTGTTTGGATGCTACAGCACATTTGCTGCACTTAAGGCAACAACAGTAATATTTTCTCTCTACACAGGCAGCAAAAATAACTTTAAAGTAAATCTGACACACGCAGGCTTTCCTAGTGTTGAAATCTTCAATAACAGAATCAACATTTTGCTGAGAATTTTTTGCGACATTGAACACCACCTGCAAGAAACCAGCAGGGGAAAAAAAGATGGGGGAAAACCCAAGGAAGAATTTCTCCAGCATCAGACTGAACAGAGGCAAGCTGCGAACAGTGCTACATTTCCTAACTCTAACCAGAATATCAGAAGTAATAAAAGTAACTGTGAGAATGGAAGGAACGGATTCATCTTCAGCCACTTCTCCATGTGATGAGCAATAGCATTCAGCCAGAACGCATTTCCTGCTCTGCAAAACCACAAACATTTGTAGAGCCAAAGGGCATTGTTCTTTTCAGTGAATAGTTTCAAACTATTTGAATGCTTCAAGTAAGAGAATGCTCTTATGAGTTACTGTTATTTAGTCAGCAAGTTGTGAAATGCTCGCCAGGTGAGAATGGCAAACAACTGCAGACAGGATCCCTGCCCCTAAGAATTCAGAGGCTGTGGCACTGATCTTGCCAGCAGATAAGCACGGACAGACCCAAGAGGGTCTCCAGTAAATTAAATGGTTCTGCTGTGTGCGGCCAGCTGTGCAGATGCAGTTTTGGGGAGATGGGTCTAGATGAAAACACTGAAAGCCAAAAGAAGGAGGAAGATGCTGTTACTACTAGGAAATCAAGGCTGTACTACTACCGTACAAAATTAAGACAGAGTGGACGGGAAAGAGCACGACATAAGAGCAGGAACCATATTCTATTGCCACTAAAAAATGAAAATAAGAGGTTGACTGCTATCCCACAAAAAGTCTCATCTGCTAATGTGGCATAAGATCATTACTTGAGAATTTAAAGCTATAATGGCATAATGCAGTGGGACAAAATCTGCTATCAGTCAGAAGATGGGTAAATCACCTGTGAGGCTGCCCCTGAAAATGATGCTTTAAGCAACCTGAACTTGTGCAATAGCATGGGGCACCAAGACCACAGAGATCAGTTCCTTGTGGTGACAGGGAAGAGATAACCCACATAAAGCAAACCGAGGTAACAGGACCCACGTGTAAAGAAGGCTACAGAAGTACACCGCCAAGGTGCTGGCAGAGAAAAAGAACCCCAGCACTACTCTCAAAATGAGCACAAAGACCCCCGAGCTGCCGCCAGCCTGAAGCAGTGAATCAGCCCTGCAGAGCACGAGGGATCTGGAGCAGTATCACCACAGAAATGCGGCCAGATCCCGCCTCCTTGCAGCCACAGCCTCCCCCCAAAACGGCTGCGGCTGAGCTCCCACAGTATTTTGGATTTTACAGTCAGCGTGGGTGTCTCTGCATTCAGGTTGTGGTTAATCACTCACCCAATAATAGGTTTCAAAAAACATACCCTTACAGAAGTATCTGGACACGACTGGAATAAGGAGAGAAACATACAGTACGATGCTGGTAATGAAAATAAGTGGATCAATTTAAAAAATAATACTAAAAATCACATTATCTTTTGTAATTACTCCATCCACCCCACCAAAAACCCCAACTTACCTTCCCAAAAGCTCCTCGTGCTTTTTGTTATCCTTTCTCCAGACCTCAATGTCCAACATATCCTTCCTGTCAGAGAAGTAGTGAAAATCAAACTGTTCCCTCCACTGAGGATTTGCACTCTTACACAGTGTCTAGAAAACATGCAGTTATAATATTTACTTTTCTTAAATGGTACTTATTTCAACAGTAAAGCACATATCAATTCTTCTACAAGAACAAGGCTGGATGTTAGGGCATCAAGTACTAAGGTCATTCCAATCAAAGCTCCCCAATCTATCATGCACAGCCTCATCTTCCTTAAAAACTCACATTCTTCTCTCTCAATAATGACAAATACGAAAGTGTGACATGAACGAATGGCTGGAGAAATTCTGAAAAGAAAGGTGGATCCACCAGCTCCCCTTTCAGTGGACTGTGGTCATCATTCAACATCACACACTGGAAGAAATGGTGAATAAACCTTTTGAAGGCAATCACCTGAAACCAGGTTTGAATGAATTCAGAAACCCAAAGCAGTATTTTTCACCCTTCCACATTAAGACATAGGCAAAGGAGGAGCAGCCTTGAAGTTATTAATATCCAGTCAATTTGATATCTGTAAATTGTGCCTCTGAGTTCAGTGAAATTGTTCATGTGTTCAGGTTACTCTGAGTATTCATCGGATTGGCACTTAAATCACTTGCAATTCACATCACACTACACTACCCACCATCGATACCAGCACGGCCACTGAGAGAACAGGAGGTGGATTAGCCAGACCGTGACTGAGATTCCTCCCACCTTGTCTGCTTCTCTGGACCATGAGAGATCGTACTTCACAAGCTGAATAAACTCCAGGAAAGAACATGAAGTACTCCCAATGTGAAGTCTTATTAGGGTATAAAAGCAGTGGTCCCAAACTTTTTCCTGGACCCCAGACAGAAATACTGAGCAATTAACTCACTGCAGACAATGCTGTACTTGACTTCCCATTTTAAACTTTTTAATTTTCTGTGACTGCAAACAGCGCAGTCTTGTGGATTCTTGACACAGGCTACGGACCATTAAAGAGAAACACAAAAAGGGATCCTAACTGGAATAACATATATTTATTCTAAAATAACTAAACCATTTGTTATTTTTCAAAACTGCTTTTCTAAATAAAAACATTGTATCTTGACCTTGGTTTGAGGTCCGATGTGGGGGACAGACTGCAGGTTTCAGATGTGCCTACATCTTAACATTATGTTCTGTGAACTTGCTCTGTACATTTTGTACAGGAAGAGATGTGTTCGTTTCCTCCTCCCTCCGCACTTCCAGTTCATGACATGCAGAGAGCTCTTGCCTTCCCAACAGAATATTACTTTAATTACAGCCCCTCTCCTTATTAGACTTCGGAGATGAAATATCTATCTTTGGGAACCCCATTCATTTCTTAGATTCCCATGACACGGTACTGGATACAAGTAAACACAGAGGAATAAAAATTCAAATCAAAATCATGGAATATTCTGTGCGGGGTTTTGTGGTGTTGGTTTTTTTTTTTTCCTTTTATAGGTAACATTTTTCAAGAAAGGTGTCTTAAAAAGTAAAAATAAAAAAATTCCCCTGCACTAGGAACCGTTTCAGGTCTGCTTTTCCGGCATGCCTAACATTGCAAACCTAACTCCTGTATTGCCACAGAACAAAACACATGTGTGATGCATGTAACTTTATTTCATTACATATTAATGTCAAACATCCATCAACATGATCAGTATGTTAAATGTACAAAAACAGCTAAATACAATATTTCTAACTTCCTATTTCTATATTGGCATGTAAAATGCATTAATAAAATGTTAATGTCCCTGATCTGGTCTCCTGGTTTTGATCTCGCTTATACAAAGGACATTCAGGAATAGTTCCATCTGAAGTAGCAACACTGGTAAAAGAAACACTAAGTACCTTACTGGCAGAAATCCTTAATACTTACCTTACTCTTGTATCTTTGATCTCCCAGTTTGAGGAGAATAAAAATCTCTGCCAAGCCCCCTCCGGGGATGTTCTTCCCCTCCAACAATGTGATGCTGACCAGGCCGTTCCACAACTGGTTCTTGCGCAACGCATCGGAGAGTCGCACGCTTCGCATGAAACTTGACTGAAAAGCAAGTGAGCAACGTGAAACCTTTCTACACCCAAACCCACATTTTCATGCTCAAACTGACTGTGGTATGAAAGCATCAGAAGTGAGAGAGGTACCACGGTCCCCTCAGAGCAAGCAGG